CTTCCCCATGAACTGACATCCCATACCAGACCAGTTTTTAGAGCATAAAAACGCACCAGGTGGTGAGAGCGCACAGCTGACGAGCAGACGACGGTAGGTTTGGCAAAATGCTACGCTCTTCGCATGCCAATTACCGGTTTAGTCGACGGGAACCAGCGTTTTCCCGCGGGGAGTGTCCTGGCGACTCGCAATTGAATCTGATTTAAATAATTTCAGATGATTCTGTCGATGCATCTGTTGCACTTTCTCCTCCGACATTCCCTATATTACGATGCCAAGATACGCTCAAGCTTGGACAACGTGACCAGCCCGGAATAAGCGTACGGCAAGCCGAAGGTCATACTTCGAAACGTACTCTTATTACTAACATTATCTTGAACTATATACTACTTTGAAATAGGCTATCTAAGGGAGGCTATAAATAGTCACCCCTTTCTAGTCGCGTTTCTGGCAGTGGTAATTAGCCCGTAATCGCTATGAACTCAAAGGTAGTACAGTAGTTCCTCATTGCATTGCGCTTCGACTTTCACGAGTTTATATTCAAGAGTATCTGAATATATATCGCGTATTTTTGCCTTTTTATTTCTGGCACAGGGTCGGACGAGGGGGTAACCGATCATTTAACATTTTTGGGATAACATCCTAAAGACCTTAATTTTTTTGAAGATACTTTCCAGCAGATGATATACACTTGTCCCAACTGGTTTTTCACTGTCAGAAACTTTTCAAATATGCTTCCGAGGTAATGTTATGTACTCGAGCGATTTTTTAATTTGAACTTTCTACCTTCTGCCAACACATGTTTCCTTAGGTTGTCTTCCCTACTGGGAACGAGAGAAGTTGCAATGGGCCAGGTTGGACGAGTAGTGGGTGCGCGGAAACCCTTGTCATGTCTTTTTTTGTCAAAAAAAAACCCGGTTGTTTTTGAACGTTGTGTGGCCAGGCGCGTTGTCATGACGCAGCATTCAGCCACAATTCAGGTCATTTTTTGCTCACCTTTCTTTTGTGCTGGCTTCAATACCTGGAGTTAGTGATTTTGGTTCATGCGGAATAAATTCAATGTGAACGCATTCGATGAAGAAGGAAAAAAACATCACAGACGCGTTGCTCCTTAAAGTTGGTCATCGCACAATCTCCGAGAGTGTTGGTAGGGACGTTTGATAAACCAATCAATATGTCCGCTGTGATGGTTCTCCGTGAACGCTAATTCGCCCACTGAGTAGGAAGGGTGTCTAGTAGACGCACCTAACGGGCGAGGCACTGCCGACCCATTTGTTTGCAGAAAATCGTTCTCGTTTTCTCGGTACCGCTTTGTACGATACGTATATTTGCGGGTAGTACATAACCGATGTTTTTACACCCAACCGGCTGACTGATTCTAGCTATCTTCATTTTTTTAAACACTCGAAGGATTAGAACTAGTGATACACACTTTGATGCCGTCGTAGCACCTTGCGACGTCTTATTCAACCCCATGTCCAAATTCCTTCAAGGAAGACGATACTAGACATAGAGATTTCTCATTTTTGAGTACTCACAATGCGATTGAATGTGTCGTAAAAATGAAGATTTTCACGATGCAACGCGTCGAGCTGGCGGTCGTCGCCGAACAAGAAATTAGAAAGAACCTGCCGAATACAATTATAAGCGTGTTGTTCTATGCGTTTTGGAAGAATTTTTCTTTCTGGCGCTTTGACGATGGTTAAGTAGTCCTTTGAGTTTCAAGGTGTCCTTTAAATTATTAGGGACAATGCTCTACTAATTAACTGAGCCTAGTAATCATTCTGGTGGATTCTAGATAATTGCTTAGGAAATCCTGCATAAGCAGTCAGCTTGCTGTTCTGTAATGGTAGATTCTATGCAAACAGTAAGATGGGCAGGTAAATCGGTCCGTGTGTGATTAAATTCACTACGCACGGTGAGCCTCGTAGCTCAATGGTAGAGCGTTGGCTGCGCAAAACCCTTCCCTGCTGTGTGGGTTCGACTCTCACCGAGGCCGCGAATGTTTCGCAATTGGGTCAACTGAAAAATGTTAATGTCAATGAAGTGCCAGGGAGTACTTTGCGGTCTTCTATATTTGCAGCCCTAATATATATAGCTTCTGTAGCTGGTGGTTGTAAAAATAGTAAAAATGAGACAGATCTTGAAAGAAGTGAGTTCTCAAACGTTTCTGCCCTCTCCGTATATCTCTGTAACAGGTGCTTTGGGCTATGTTTATGTGGGGTTATCTAAAAATAAACACCGTTTTACCTCCATCCTATTTTTACAGGCACCACCATCTCCACAGCAAAACCAAAGTGCACGGCTGTTAACTCCCCCGACAGGACTCCTGCAGGCACCCGTCTGATCGGTTCCAGGTGTAGTGGTGCGGCGACCATCCAGTCTCGCCTGTCTACTCTCTGCTCCCCACGTTTCGCACCACCTGAGCTCCCAATTCATGCTTCACCTCCGCGTCATATCGACACAGCTAATGCAAATAACAACATAAACGTCGCGGCCCTGATGGACCACTCACCTCCCCAATCGTCAGTGTAAGTCCACCAGAAGTCCTTTAACCTAAAAATT